TAAATTTTGTACAAAATTTAAGCTGCATTTTGTACAAAATCCTCTCACGCACTACGCCGAAGCTATTTTCATAAGATTCTTTACGTTATTATGAGAAACTCTGAGAAATCCTGGATCATAACATTCTCGAGAAGGATATTTTGTTAGGCCCTACGCTGTTCATTTGCTGCATACAAACTTGCTGACCAACGAGAATGCAGAATTCCCTAGTGCTTTTACTATTCAGTTTGATATTGTGTCTTTGCGCGAGTTCTGAGAGACTACCAGCATGGATAGCGACCAGTCTTCAGATATCCCCAGTCTTCAATTTAGAAGCAAAACGCTTCAATCTGTTATCTCCATGCCAGGTACTTAACTCTTACAGAGAAATTTTTTACAATCGCACTGCAGGTCAGGCCTCTATGGGACTCTCTTAATAACAGGCAAGAGTAGGAAAAACTATCACCTGCTGTTAAGCCACTATACCGAGCAAGTATCAAAGAGAAACTTTAAAACTAGAAGTACATTCTTAGTGTCAGTATTTAAGGAAATATAATATCTAGTTATCGTTTTCAGACGCCTTCCTGTCCGTGACAAGGTTAATAAGGTTTTCTAATGGTTTCAAACATTCTGATGCGCGTAGTTTCGTACTTTCTTTCAATGATGTATAGTGCACAGATACAGAACTCTCAAATGTTGCAATGGGAGTGGAGATTTATGATGATAACTTACCGTTAAAAACTTATCTTGGCGAGCTTTTTGAACGACATGAACACTCACAGCACCTACTTGTGGTATATTTTATGGCCTTAAATATTTTACATAAAGATGTATTCAAAGAATAATTTGAATTTCGTTAACGTATGATCTTACATTTGATCTGTATCTCATTCTATCTGTAAAAACATTTCAAAGCTGTTATTAAGTAAATATATCTAATATCTTAAAATAATCAGTTTATTATCCCAGAAACAAAACATGCTGTGTGCCAACAAAACACATTTTTAATTGTCTGTCTTGTATAGTGAAATTACTTTCCCTTACTTCCATTTATCATTTATATGCAACAGTAAACAATTTAAAGTAGCTTTTCCTTATCTTTAAATTGCATCGTTTCTAACACGAATTAAAAATTCGTATTCATTGCTCTCCATTTCCATTGCAGAAATGATTTTGCTTCCTCTGAAATTAGCGAACAGGAAGAATAAAACGATCTATTGACAACTAAGCAATCGAAAGCTAGACAAGTACCCCACTTATGAGGAAATAATTCATAAAGGTTTTCCGAAAAGATAAGTAATTCGTGTTTACAAAAAAAAAATCATGTGTACGAACCATTTTGTTGCCTTCGGCGATAATTCTACCCAGGATACAACTAACGAAGTTAAGTGTTTTCCTACTCAGTTACTAGTTCTGGTTTTAACATCACTTTAACTCCCAGTAATTAGTTGTTGTTTGGGACATCTGTAAATTCACCTATTTAACTCATTTTTTAAGATATTTTTTTTTTAATTTCCGATGGCGAGAACTAGCCGTTGTAGGCTTTGGCCACTACTAAGGGCGGAGGCGGTGGTCACTTTATTATGGAGGCAACTTAATAGGTGGGCCGTCGTTGCCTCCTATGAAGTGACAATGTCTTCTCCGAGATCCGAATCCGGTACCTTCGCTAAGGGAGTCAAAATCACTAAGCAATTTCCCGCCTGGGCGCCATTTTCAGAATTTCTGAAAAGGTTAGGATTACTCCCATTACTTTTCCAACCGTAAGCTCTTTTATACTTTCATATCCTTTTAAATCTTAGGATTCAAATTTTTTCGTTAACTACCTTCTTACATAGAATCTGTTAATTTTAAATGCCTGGCTATATAATCTTGAAATAATATTCAGACCACATTTCTGTATTTATACCTCAACCCCCCTCAAATAAAAAAGAAGCATCATTTCGAAGTCTAATTCAATGTCTCCTCGATTGTTTTTTAAACACTATCATATAAATTAAACGTGAACGTAGATAAAACAATTAAAAGTATTTAGTTTTACCTACAAATTATATTTCAGTCGGATATGTACAGGAGGATCGCTACCGCGTGCACAAACTACTAGGAGGGGTAGGTTATTCAGGGACTAATCGGAATCAGATATAAATTCAGGGTCGGAAATGCAATCTTAACTCACGAGGGAGGATTGTTGAGAAACTTGTGGTAAAGCCATCATTCGACAACTGCCTGCAGAAGTAGTAGGATGGAAGGCTTCTCAAATGCGGAGTTAGCAGATATGCATCTGAGCTGCAGATTATAACGGACTAGCTGCTGTGCGTCTATACTTGGAGTGCTACTCGACGAGACGTATTCTAAACCAACAGACGTTCGCATGGCTGCATCGAAGAATATACACTCCTTTGCAAAAAAAATCGAAGCACCAAGAAGGACTTTTGCGATCGTGACGAAATTTGGTATGAAAACACATTTTGATCGAACATGCAAATGATCAAAATTTCAAGGCAAATGAACAGGAATTGCGATTATAGCCCGCATTTCTAGTGCGCATTTCGCAAAGTATAAAACTAGTAACAGAGGCGGAAATTTTATCTTTTTTTGTTGCGGCCATTGTAATTCCGTAAAAAAGCAACTAAAGATGCCATTACGATGATATCGAAAACCTTACAGACAACTAAACGACTTCGAACGTGGTCGCATTGTAGGGTTGCTTGAAGCTGGATGGTCATACCGAGCAATAGGCCGTCACCTGCCGCGTACTGCTGCTGTGCAAAGATGTTGGCAGCAATGGTTGCTACAAGGAAATTGCCGACGAAATGAAGGCTCTGGAAGGCCAAGGAGCACAAATTCAAGACAAGATAGGATAACTGTTCGCCAGGCCCAAACCGCTTCAAAGGTATCATTGTCGACTATTCAACGCACTGCAGCCACGTCTATACCTCCCGTGGTATCGTCCACCATCTCATGGCGTTTGTCTAAGGCGGGGTTACGCTCATAGAGGCCTTTCCAACGTTTGTCTTTGACCCCACAATATCGGCGGAGTCGTCTGGAGTGGTGTCGCAGCCGATCCTCATGGCTGCCATCAGACTGGCATCGTATAGTGTTCAGAGATCAATCACGCTTCACACTCGAAGATATGACCACCGTGTTCGTGTCTGGAAAGGACGGGGCCAGCTGTCCCAATCAGCCTTTGTTTTACAAAGGCATACAAGCATAACCCCTGGTGTGATGGCGTGAAGTGCTATTTCTTAGTAGAGCAGGTCATCTTTAGTCATCCTCCGTACAACTTTAACAGCTCAACGGTATGTTGATACCATCCTGAGGCTTGTTGCATTACCCTTCATGGCACGTTATCCTGGGGCCATTTTCGAACAAGATAATGCCAGACCACATACCCCTCGCATATCTCTGGACTGCCTCCGTGCAGTTGATACTCTTCCTTGGCCAGCAAGGTCGCCAGTCCTTTCACCAATCGAAAATGTCTGGGGCCATGGTATGCCGCCAGATTCAGGTACCACAAAATATCGCAGATTTAGAGCGACAACTGATGAACGCCTGGCAGAATGTGTCGCAGGGTGACATTAGGAACCTCTACACTCCTTGCCTCGACGAATTCAAGCATGCATTGCCGCCAGGAGCGGTTCTTCGACCAACTACTAATTTGAACACTTAATGGATGATTGTGAGTCGTGAACAGGTAGTATGACCTTGACTTTTTAATCATATTATTATGTGTGTATGAGCTATACAGATATTCAATTTCATCAAAAACAACCCCTTCCTTCATGGTGCTTCGATTTGTTTGAAAAAGATTGTACGAACCTGGGTCGAATAGCATGGACCCCTGAAATCAAAGCGATGGAGCTTCGTCTTATACAAGACAGTTCACGTGCCAGTACACGAACAATCGGAATTCACTTCGTCACTTCCCCAAACCACCGTCTGGAAATCCGAAAGATTGCACTCATACCACGAGCAATGCCTAGAACTACTGCAGTATCTAGAGTACGGTGAACCACTTTTTGCGGTTTCAGTCTTATTCACAAGTGAAGTATACTTCACCAGGGAAGGCTGTCACAATACGTATATCTCGCATGTGTGGACAGCAGAGAGTTCTCATGATACAGAAACACCTGTAGCTCAACACCGGCTTACTATCAGCCTTTCATCTGGTATTGTGAAGTACCACTTAACAAGCCTTATATCTCTTGCCTGTTCGTTTAAATGGACGGCTTTATAAGATTTGTTTTGGAGGAATTCTGGCTAAAATGTTAAATGATCAACAAATTCATCAGTCCCTGCGCCAGGATATACGATTCCAGAATGACGGCGTCCCAGCCGATTTCAGCGGTTATGCTCGAAAGCACTTAAATACGACATATGGGCAACAGTGGATTGGGCGTGGGAGGTCCCATACATTGAAATGCACGATCACTGAACTTATCCTGTCTATTCTTTTCTGGAATTACATAAGAGTCTGGTGTACGACATATACAATGGACAATGGGGCAGTGAGGAAAGTCTTGTCGCACGCACCTCCTTAGCTGTCGCGGCTGTCCGAAGGACACCAGAAATATTTCACAACGCCCGTGATTTTATGCGGCACCGATGCCAGGCTTGTGCTGCAGGTAGTGGCTCAAACTTCTAACATATTCCACGATATCTCTTAATATCTCAATTATTACATTCTGATTAATAAAATAATGTTTGTTGTGGACTTGCACATGATGATGATCTTTCCGACCCTAAAAAATTGCTGATCTAATCATTCGTCTACACCTCCTAGAAACTTACACACGCTATAACAAATCCTCCTGTATTTTTCAATTGTTTACTTCTATCAGACCATTGTTATGGGAATTATATGTACAAGTTTCCTATCTTCGTTCATTTTCTGTGTTAACTAATAAGAAAAACGTGTAACTAATAATGAATTCTTAGAACGCTTTTTATATTACTTGACAAATCGAGAATTGGCCAGAACGTATTGTGTGAAAAAAAGTGTATAAGAATAATAAACTATACCATACTTTCTTCTTTAATCTTTAATATAAAATGCGCAGTAAAATTCATACTGGAGCCTAATAATTCAAAATAGTGCATCTTATAGGTAGTGGTGTCTATGAACAGTCTGTACAATTGACCAAGATGCTTCGTTCATAATAAAAATATCATTACGTTGTCAACTTTCCATAGCATTGCAAAATCAACATTCTACAATAACCACTAAAAGCATACAAAATAAACTATTTGTATTCTTACAGAAGGCTGGAAAATGATTTCAGTCCCAGTGACCGAAGGTACAGTTGGTCTCTAATAGTTTGCTCAAGGTGTGCAAAAATATGACTGCGAAAACAAACTACTGCTATTGAGATGTCTAAGTGCAACAAACTTGCTACTCAACGCTATTTAAATAAAAGTTCAACTGAGAACTGCAGAACGGTTAGAGCACTCTTCATTAAAAGATTTATTGTTAACGAAAATCCAATTTTTTATCATTTAGTAAATACACCATCATTATTTCGTTTAGTGACAAAACATCAGAAGTTAAAATATTGAAGATTATTTAAAATGAGACGCACATACTTTAAATTCGAAAAATAAGTTAAAAAGTAATCTATAGTTTCCTCTTCAAAAACTAGTGGGAAATACAATACACATAGCGGCATGTCAGGATAAAAATTTTAGCAAATTGGTAATAAAATATTACGTAAAAATAGTATTATTGCATTGGTCTTTTTAAAAGAATCTTTTACATCATTTAATCTACAATCAAGTATCAAAACATTTCACTCTCTTCGTGTATATTCTTTCTTATGCAGTATAAAATGAGTTAATAAATCAGCGTAGCTAAAAGTTTCATTCAGAAAAAAAAAAAAACAATTTCCTTTCAATATGAAGTATAAAATTATTTCCTTTCAAATATTTCTGTATGCTAAATGAAGCTCATTTGTAAATATATGAACTTTAACAAACTACCACATTATTTACATTTTCGTAGCTGCTTCATACGCAATTTATGTATTTGTCGCAGGAGTGATCTGAAATTTCATACAAAATATTTCGTTATCTCTTCCACTTAATAAAATATATTAAACCAGCGCAAGTTTAGTTTTATCCTGTCGCAAGAAAAAATAACCTGAGCTTTGACATTTGAAAAAGTAAAGCATATTAATTCCCTGAAATAGGATAAGCATAGTCAATCAATTGCGAAATGAGTATTTCAGAAAATGATTACGTTTTTGATATACATCTCTTACCTTATAATCTTTTTATTAAAATAATAGTAAAGCATTTCATATAACCATTTACTTTTGCTTTACAAATCTGTGATTATAAGGAAGGAAGGTAAAAGAAACTAAAAATATTTCATCGTATCTAATTTTTCTCTGAACTACAAAATACTTAGCATTATCTCCTAAAAAGATAAACAAATTATTTATTTAAAATTTTCTTTTAAATACCGTTCTGCAGAACTCCGTTTTAAAATAGATCTACTCGGACTATCAGGAGGAACTTCGGAACCGGAAGACTGACTTCATTCGGATGGTTGATTGCTAAAATTTTTTTATCAAACAGTGAGATATCAAAGATCATACAGATATCTCAATTATTGCTGCTTATTTTTTTCTGAATTGGAAAACATATCTCTGTCTTGAATGTCGTCATCGAGCGTGGCTGCTCGAACTGCTTCAACCTCCTTTGACTTTCGTTTTGGTAACGAGTCTTTCCTAGACAAGGATTGGCTCCTCTGAATTTCTGGCGCTCGTAGAACTAGCACCGGATGTGTTACTTTCTCATTTCGAGGCCTCACCAGACGAAGCAATTGTCCGATCTGCTCATCAACATGACAGATTTTTGAATTTAGTCTTTGCATTTCTAGTTTTAAATCTACACGTAAGTCGACTAAATTGGCAAGGATTTTTTGATATTCGACTGAAGTTTCATCTTCCGAACGGGGTGAAGATTCTTCTTCGATAGTTGGTTCTTTGGCAAGAACCCGAGACCATCTGGAGAAAGAACGATTAACAGTCCTTTGGACGTCTTTCTTATTTACTTGTGGCACATTTTCCGATGGAGCGTTTTCTTTATCATCTCCTGGATCTCTAGTCACAGTCCATTTAGTAGAGCACTTTATGCCTCCACTTTCACTCACTTGTGCAAGCCTTGAGTTATTTCGAGAATCGATTGTCTCAATGTTCAGTCCTTTTTCTACGTCACTGCTCTTCTCATGAGATCCGTTGCGTCGGAACTTTGAGAAGATTTTACGTACTAAATGGTCTTGAGACAACTCTTGCAAGGGCTCGTTTTTGCGTCTTTCTGCTAACTCTCGTTCTCGCTTCACATCAGACACTTTTCTGAAGATAAGCTAAGAAAAGAAACACAACATTTAAATATTTCAAACGCTATCAAATTGTACAACATGCTTTAATTTACTGAGAATCGTCAGGAAAAGTACTTTTGATATGCAGTGATGGCGATAAGTACTAAATTTAGCATGGGCTAGGTCACATTACATTCATAATAATTTATAAATAAAAAGACTTTTGTTAATCTTCTAGCATGCTATTTAATGTTCTTTATAAACATTTTTACTTCTTTGTCGTTATTAAAATACAATGCAATCTTAGATAAATAGATAGGAGGGTGGGATAATGAGAAAAAATACCATCAGTATGGTTCTGTTATGTTTTTGAAATATTTGTGTGAGCACTAACGCTTTTTTCTGATGACTTAATGTAGACTGAATTCGATGCTTTGGATGAAATACAACTACATTTTTAAGGAAAAAGCACTTAAACAAAACTTCGGTTTTCTTTGTAAAATGAAGCAGGATATTTCTTGTATATATCAGAATACAATATTGCTGGAAAAGAAGTCACGCAAGTAAGATGTGGAACCAATCTTGATAAAACAAATCAAGTTATATATAAATGATTCAATGGTTAGATTTCATAAACAATAGACCTAAGAACTAAAAAAATTGCATTTTATATGCCTTTCGAGCCTTTTAATCAATTTTTAAATCCAGATTGGTTCTACCATCTTTTAGAATTGACCTTTTCCTGGACAATATTGGATAATCAAGTTTACTTACTTATTAACTTCATTATTATATTTCACAGTGTTTTTACAGCGCGTATAATTCATCTTCTTTGTTTCTTGAGGCAACCATCATTCATTTTTATTTATATGTTTTTCCAGATATACTTGATTACGACAATCTTTACTTAGCTCCATTTAAAATAGGCACACTAATAGAGGAATAATGAAATTTATGCTATAATCACCTTAGCTAGAAAAAAATATACAGAACGAAAATATTGATATAACTTTGGAGTCATAGATTAAAATGGGTTGTTTAATTTAATATCGAATGAATCTGCCGCTGGACGTTATCATAGTTTTAGATGCTGTCTGGTTTCAGTTTTTTAGATATGGTCAAATAACTTTTACTTTCACTATAATATTCAGGCGATAAATGTAATTTTCATTCCTTTGAGTAGAAATAACATTCTCATAATCATTTTAATCAAAGAAAAATATTACAATATTGGGAGAAAGTTTTTACCGATGCTAAAAATGGAATGTGACAGCACCCGATAGGGTAATGCACTTTCCCGATGCTAAAATACTACATACCGGTCGCTGTCGCATTTCCTTTTTATCCCGTTATAACGTAAAACGGTTAAATTTCACAAATCGCTAAGTTTTCTCTTTGACTCGTAAAAAGTCCAATAATGAATGGCATGTAAAATCAAACCAGATTTTAAAATGACAAACAGTTTACATAGTCAAATTCCTATTATCGTCAATGTTTTTCATCAGAAATCCAGGACTAACTTATTTCGGTCCCCTCCGCATGTTTTCTCAGACTTTTTCAATTTGGAGACAATCATAAAAATTTTATGTATTTCTTCGCCCAGAAGTGAAAAATATCACTGACGCTGAATTTATAGAGATTCCAAAAATAAAGTATAATAATTTTGTGTAAAAAAATATTGAGTTCAATTTAGTAAGTTATAAACAATAATAATAAAATAAGCAAATTTTGATAGTTTATCTTAAATGTCCAAAAATTTCAGGTATCCATATACAAAAATAAAGTAAAATAGTAATTCAAATCCGATTACTTAGTAGCTTCTAAAATTATTAAGCAAATCTTAAGAATGAAATATTGAGAACATGCATAAAAATAACTTGAAACAAACCAATTTCTAAAAGTCAATGCAAATAACGTAAATTCTAATCAAGACTGCTAGAAAACTGATTCTTTGCTCTTAGGCTCTTAAAAAGAAAATTAAGAGACCTCATAAGGAAGTCTTGAGGAAAAAAATACTATTTACATACGAAGTTCATTTTAAGATTATTGAAAATAAAACACAGTTTTCTTAGCGAAGCTTCTAAAAAGGTCTAAATCATCCTTGTGTTCAGAAAGTAATTAGAAACCTCAAAAAGACCGACAGATTGAGGAGCTAAAAGGCGAAAGCTGAAGTAAGGATATGCTGAGAGAAAAGGAAAAGTAATGGAAGACATTTAATTAAATCTGAAAATATGCGAGCTGATGATTCTGCCTGCTTTTGCTTAAATGCATGTTTGAATAGGTTCAAGAAGCGTACCATTTCTTCAGGGAAAATTGTTGGGGAATCGAGGAACCTTTCAAAATTAGATGTACAAAAATGGGGAAGAAAGTGTACTTGGGGTTGATATCGCTCTCCAGTAGGTATAAAAGCCTTTTTAAAGTCGATGAAGCTTAGCTGTTGCACAAGATGATGCCAAACAAAACGTTAAAAATTTAAAGACCAAAGATTCACTCGCAGAAAATTGTCAAAAGTGTGAATCACACTTCGTGTGTGAGTGTGTGCCATTATGAACGGCAATATTCATAGACTTATGGTGACTACAAACTTTCAGAAGCTAAGATGCTTAAAAAATATGAAAATTGCTTTTTTCCTAAAATGCCAATTGTTAAGGCAGGAAGGATATCAGAACTGTTTGAAGGTTTGGTTTTGGTTTATTTAATTATGGCAAAGCACACTAGGGCTATCTGCCTAAGGGGAGGGATGACTTGTGGAGGACTTTCTATGGAAACTGGCTCGTATACACGTTACACGTGGGGAAAACCACGAAAACGACCATGCAGCCAGCCCGTTCGCGGGATTCGAACCTCGGACCGAACTACCAATATTCAGCTACTTTACCGCTCGGACACTGGTGGGCCTAGAACTGTTTGAAGAAGATCTATGAAAGGAAGATGAACATTTGGTCCAAAAGTAATGAGGTCTTTTCAATTGTTAGACAAAAATATGGATAAAGTTTTCCTGCAATCTCCAACATACCAGGAAACAATTATAGATTAATTACTTTTGTACTTAAGTTGAGTAAAGGTTAAAGGTAAATTCATAAGTGTTTTTGTCACTAACTTTTAGTATTTTGTGGATAAAATAATTATTTATAATTCACAATTCGTATTTTAGAGGAAGATGTGCATTTTGAGGGAATGATCAGAATTATAACTTTTATGCTAAGTAATTTGTCATGTAAAATTATTAAAGTTTGGTGACACTGGTAAAGGACGAACAGCAAATTTTATAACTGCATGTAATAACAATTGTAATTAAATATTGATGTTATTTTTTTAATTAAAATTTCTATTCTTTTGATGGATGTGACAATGTTAATTCTTATCCCTGGTTTCTCTTTCGTCATTTGCACATCTGCAGCTGAAGGTGGTTATATATTTAAACCTTCGAAACTAGTCCTGCAAATTAATGAATATTACCCTAATTCAAGCTGCTTCAATAAAAGTTAGTTTTTTGCGATTCATCAAATAAATTTTATACTTTTTAATAAAATAATCTATTTTTATTATCGGATCGGATATAGGGAACCAAACTTTCGGTCCCTTACAGTTCGTTATAGAGGGGTTCAAATGTATATAAAACTGTATCTAGTAATTTAAAGGCATTGTTAAGCAATAACTACACTCCTCTGTCCATTTTCCAGATATAAAAGTCTGAAAAGTGTGTTCGGTCTTCAAATAGGTACGAAAAACAAATTGTCATGCAAGATTATTTGAAACAAACCTCATTAGAAGAACGTGATAAATATCTTCAAATACAATTCTATATTTTTGTGAAATCGATGCGAGGAAGCTTGGTAGCTACTATAAAGACTACTAATTGCTAACGTTGCCATTTATAAGTTCTAAGTAATAGAAAGGATTCCTGTATTGGAATTAAAATTCTATAACATCTTATTTAAAATATTTCATTTACTTTCTGCTTTAGATTGCTATTTTTTGCTTTTCACATAAATCTAACTTGTTGTATTATCTGTTAGATCTATGGAATTAAAAACTGATTGAAGTTAATCAAATTTTGTTAATTGAAACTTTCATTTATCTAGAAAATGTTTGGTACATCCTCAGTTTTTGGAGTAACTGTAATGAAAGCTCGTTTCTGTTGTTATCGCATTTAAAGCCAGTGTAGCCTCTGAAGGTTATATCTAACAGACTTAAATTTTTCTTTCATTTTAAGGCTACACTTGTCAATGGTGTGAGGTTCCCATTGACAAGTCCAAACTTGTCAATGGGAACCTCACACTATTTCCAATTCTGGTTTCTATAGATAATTTTAAGTTCTTTGAAGCTTTGATTACTTTTCTTCCGGAAACAAAAAAACAAGTTATATTAACTAATCTCGTTCTTTCAACACGGTAGGTTATCATTTCAACTAAGGCTCATCATTTTAAAAGGTCTGTTCAAATATCTGTAAATGTTTAAATGTCTGTAAAAATTGTGCTTTTTATTTCTTTTTACCAGTTAGGCAAGCTAACTATTCATATAATTGAATTATATGAATAGTTATGCATTTTCGTACGCATTTGAGATTCTTAGTACTTTTTAATATATCAGAAGAAGTTTACTGTATTCCTTTGTTGAATGTTTAGAATTTAGAATACTAGAATCGCTTCCATTTAATCGAGGAGTAAACAGGAATGGCCTTAATCCTCGTCTCCATAGATATTTATAGGGAAAGAATCAGAATTATAAAAATCAGTACTTACACAGCAGCTCTTAATTTAATGAAGGTCTCTTCCAACACAAATTCTGGGGGGGGGGAAGGGACTATCTCACACTATTTCGTGTACTTTCATTGAAAGTGATTCACAAACCATTCACTGCCAACACTTCAATATGCCAACAAATAGAGATTTAGTCGGCACAAATCTCCCACGTGATTAGATATGTGTTATGTAAATGCTAGGTTATAATTCTTTATACTCCCGTTATTTCGGCATGCCAGGATTAGTTTAGGATAAAACAAGCTATTTATAAAGGCCATAAACAAAATGCAAGAATGCAAGGGAATCAACAGAATCTTATGGCATGCAGATTTACAATATGTGGGATAATTCTTTTTTCTCCCGAGTAGGCGTATATTCCTTTCCTATTGTTAAATAATTTGCCTCTGTGGACAAGCAGTGTAAACCAGAATGAGATGTCTCTTTCCATGCCGCCCAGAGGGTATAGTGGTTAAAGAAGCCGACAGCGACACCAAAGGGACCGGATTCGAATCTCGGAGAAGGCATGGTTGTAACTCTCCGTCCCTTCATAGGAGGCAAAGGTGACCCACCTATTAGGTGCCTCCATAATAAAGTGATAGCCACTTCTGGCCTTAGGAGTGACCAATGCCGAAAAAAGACAAAATAGTGCCCGCTGTTCGGGGATGAAAAAAGTCTCTTTCCAAATGAATGAAAGAGTCATTAATACTGAAGACAAGCCTTTCGAGCTGTACATCTTGATTTTAGATAATCATTTACCCTGGTTAACTCTTAAGTGTATCTGCTTCGTGTATTGCATACCGATATAAACAAACTCTCGAGATAACAGCATTGCCGACAGTTTATTTATAAATTCCCTTGAACTTTTCCGAGTGTTTCTTGAGCTTAAAGTTTTTGAATAATTTCGGATGTATCTCTCCTGCTATATTTCATCATGAACGTTAAAAGAAAAGTAAGGTCAGTTTAACAGTGATTATACTTTTATACCTAATTCTAGTGCAAAATCTCGTCATGGAGTCGCAATAAATCTCACTTGGCATTATAACATTTGGTGTTTGCTCTGTATTAGTGAATTAAATCAGAAATAGTTAAATATCATAATAGTTCATTCGAATTTTAATTTAGTTGAAAATTTAAATGAAATATCATAAAAGTCTGGGCAATATAGGAGAAAACTGTATTCCATCTCCTAAACACTATGGGAATAGAGACAATCCTGATATCTACACAAATCCTCATAATCGCAGATTTTAATAAATGCCTATCGAAATACCTTTTGGTGTGGATTACTGGCCTCTATATGTGTTACATAGTACGTGAGATGAGAAATGATTTCAAACATTTGTACGACAGTAATCAACGGATTTGGAAAAGGTATAGTGATTCTAATGAGTTTTTGGATATTTTTTCGTCAAGAATTTTGTATCACTTTTTAGGAACTTGCTTACGCATGGTACTTTTAACGATATTCTTCATTTATTGAAATTCATAAAGGTAGAACACGCTTCTTATTGAATCGTGATATTACCATTAAAGCAGTGCTTCGCAACCGGTGTGTCGCGGCACACTGGTGTGCCATGAGTAGGATATAGGTGAACCACAATCAAATAGATGTATTTGACATTTTGCAATTTTTTATCATGTATTTAATACACAATGACAACTTTTTCCTTAATAATGTCTATTTTAAATGTTTTTATATATTTCACTGTTGTGTGGTTGTGTGTGTGTGATTGTAAGTGTGTCAGCATTTGAATTTTTTCGGCACTTCCTTGATAACTCGGAGCTCTTTGGTGTGCCACGAAATTCCAGAAAGATTTTTTGTGCGTCGCAGGTGAGAAAAGGTTGAGGAGCACTGCATTAAAGAACTATCAATATTTACTTCGGATGATGAAGTAAGAAGGTTCAATATTTTTCAAAAACCCAGAATGTTACTTATAGTCATACTTACTCTATGCCTTAGGTTATAAGTAAGAAGTAGGTTACGAGCGAATGAGTTAGCAAAGGCATGGTAAAAGTTTAGCACTTCCAGGAGCTTATCCCTCTTTATAGAATGCAAATCACAGTAAGTTAGACCACGAACGTTGGCACATGACTGGCCAATTGTAGGCTCTTTCCAAAAGGCATCACCAAACACATCACCTTTGCCTGTAAAATATTAGATAATTTTGTCATAAGCACTCTTCAGCTAATACTATTTTCTTTATTTTAGATGTACATCTAAACTGTTATCTAAAAACACATATAAAATGTTCTTAATAATTAAATACTGTAATGGTTCTTGCTTGGAAATATCGCAAGCAGATGTTAGTAGTGGAGAGGCAAAATTATTGAGATATTTTCAACGTATAACTAAGACGAATTTTGGGCATGTGATTAAAGAGTTTTTTTTTTTTTCCATGATATAATTTTAATTATTTAAAATTTAAAACGAAATAAATTATATACGACAGAATAAAAGAAAATTATATATATGTTGATTTTAGAATTTTTATTTAGAATAGCAGAACAATTCAGAGTTTATCTGACAGTAATCAAAGCAAACCAGCAACTTTAACAACATGTGTGGGAAAACAAACTTATAAATGAAGTAAATTATTTTCAGTTTTAATTCATATACAGCGAAAATAAAAATGTTTTCCAAAATATATAGGTCAGGTTATTTAATTACCGCAAAAATCTTTAATGTTACACATTTTATTAACAAGTGTATTTTCGGAGGATCATTGTCTATTAGAAGCAGACTTGCATTGTTGTAGGCTGCACATAGGAATAACTACAAAATTTAAATGCAATCGTTACGCTGGTTTACTACAAGTCGAGCCCAAGGTAAAATTATAGCTTAAACCGCAAGGACACCGAGAGGCTCGTGTTAAAATATATATATTTGAATACCTATAGAGGGCCACAAGTTTCAAAGTTGAAAAAGTAAACTAAAAATGAACTTTAATGCCATTTTTAGAAGCTAACAGAGAAGCAGCTTGTCGATTGACTTCTTTATCTATTACTTTATAAAAGCAGAACCTCTGCAACCTACTAGGCTTATGATCTGAAAAGGTATTTTTTATATGCTGTCAAACAAAGGAAGATTTTTGGCACATTCTTACTGCTTTTTTAACACATAAATCTTCATATATTATTTTTTTCTATAAAAGTATACATAATTTTATTAAAATAGCAAATTTCTATTTGGTTATATGCTTAATATTTCGTGCATTAATTTTTAAAGGCATAAAATGAAATTTATGCTCATGTAAGTTCTTTTGTATAATTCATTTAACTTTATGTTAAATATAACCCAAAGCGAGTCACGACTGGTAATTCAGTAGCCCATTTAATCTTGCTGATATATTTATTATACTTTATGGCAGGGTAACTGGTGAAAGATAAGAGCAAAATTATGAAAAAAAAAATTAAGAGCAATAAAAGAAGTTGAGAAAAAAATCTTTATTCAGTAGGTAAGCAATAAAATAGTGCTGAAATAATTTTACAAAAGAAGTTGAACAGAGCAAAAGTAGCTACACGAAAGTCTGTACATCTTATATTCTAAAAGTCAAGAAAGTAACAGTGTTCTGTGAATTAACATTATGTGAAGAGGTGAATTTCTTGCTTTAAAGCAAGCACTTATACTTAGCATAGTAACATCTGAATAAAAATTTGAAGTTATATTATCACGAGGAAAGTAATTTGAGACATTTTTAAAAACCAACCTGATATCACACTGCAGACAGGCCAAAATTTAACCAACGCCAGATAAGAAGTGATACAAAAAATATAAACAATTAATTTCTACATATAGTATATATTTAATTCGCAATAAACTTTAAGACACCTTAAAGAAAAAAAGATTGTGTGGTAACACAAAAAAAGATGTGGTAAAAGGATATATAAATAACATACAACTTCGAAAGGTGATAAAACTGTATCATTTCCTTTGAAGAGAGCTCTTTTCCAGCCAGAAATAGAAGCTGACAAGAAAAAAGAAAAACTAGAGAGCGAGTGAAATTCGCTATGATTATGGCTTTACAGTTGCTTCAGTTCTTTAGAAAATAGAATAAAAAATAATAAAACTGAAAAAAGGGGGAAGCCTGAAAAAAAAAAGAGAGAGAAAGAGAAGACAGCTAGAAAAATTTCGAGCAAGTCTCTTTTAACTGAAACTTCTGCTTCTGAGGAATGAGCACAGAAATATACCATAAAAACTGAAGTGTAGGAGAAATATTTTGTGCCAGTTTTAGAATGAGAATGAAATTCAGAAAAATGTAGTATGTGGTTGAAGAAATTTAAAATGTATTCAAGAGATTGAATTTAACAAAAAATAAAAGTTTTGTTATTATTGAAAAAAGTTTTTCACTTAATTCTCTAACATATTTCAGAAAAAAACTGTTTGGAACTGTTTGGAAACTATCCCGAGTAAACGATCACGAATTAAATACATTTTAGTAAAATGTAAGCTGTGAAAAATTAATTATAATTTAACTAAGATTAAAACTTATTTAATACTAAAAATGTTTCCTTAGCATACCTTTTTGTGGAATCAGCTCAGCATCTTATTTTTAGCAATTATGTGAATAACAATATACGGCAAATGTAACTTTATTTTTCCATATCTAATGTAACTGAGTTGCCATTTCGTAATGGCAACAGCTAAATCAAATTTAATATAAAGAAGACAAAAATTTTAACTGTTTACTAAAATTTGAGCATTTTGTCTGTGCCTTAATATAATTAGTTTTGATAGCTTGAATATTGATAAAAATGTATTTGTGTTTCGTTTCTGTACAGTTTCGATGCTAATTTACTAAATGTCTTTAAATGACTAACATTTGTACTCAACATTTGATTCAACATTTGTACATTTACCTTAGTTAAACAGTAGGATCAAGCACATAAGATCTCACATTTTTAGCGATGTTTGCTTTCGAGGTAGTATCCTATCTGTAACCATCTTAAACTATTCCCCAGGTTATCTCTCTATTGTCCTTATCAAATAATTAAACTTGTAACACAAATAAATGTGATCCTTGTTCATTTTCGTACTTTCACTGCTATCCTTATAAAATCCGCACTTTTATTACACATTTTTACTTGAAGTCCATACATTTGCATTTAGTTTAGAAGAACAAAGTCGTACAAATAGCTTGTGAGGTATCAGAAAATTACCATTTAGAATTTGGTCTAAAGTAATAAATGAATATAATAATTTATCTTGTGGCTTTTAGTATTCTGTTTACTGTCTAATTTAAATGTCATGCATAAAAAAATAGTCTTAAATCTGAAAGAATGTCATTAAGAACAAAGCATAATTGAGGGTTACCTAAAATAGCAACAACTTCGTCGTCTTGGATGACCTCAAGAGAACCTGTTACTACAAAGCACAATGTGTCAATACTTTCTCCTGTGTGGTATAATAAATCACCTGGAGCACTGTGTTCCATTGTGAAATACATTGCAAGAGCTCGAAGACAACCGTCACTTGCCAAACGAAACGCAGGGTGTTCGTTGAATACTTTTCTATTTAAATGTACACATATGTCAGCGGTCATGTCTTTGGGACAGTAGCTCAACACCTAAAGAAAGAAAAATTGATTCATTCATTTAAAGAAAAAAGTTAAGTAAATTTGAATCAGGAGTTCCGAAAACTGAAATCTTTATTTATTTAGTTGAAGAAAACTATTCTCAAAAAGATACTATGCATTTATCAAAAATCTATGTAAGTTAAATATTCTAAAACGGTCCGGAAACATTGCTTTTTAATCTCAGTTTATCTGCAGTTAGTTTCAAATGTAATAATTCTAATATACAATTTTTTTATGCATCATTTCAGCTACGATTTCATTAATTCTGAGAATCGATTTCATCAGATATGCGAAGGGTTTTCCTTTACTCTCGAATTTTGATTTTTTTTTTTTTTTTTTTTCCAGCTTCAATCTTAAATGTTCCCATAAGTGAGTCAAGCTTTAAAACAAATTGTAAAATGTATCCTAAATCGTTAAAATATCAATTTACATAAGAAAGCCACTTAAAGTTAAAAAAAAAACAGTCTCCGAGCTAATAATGAAAAGAAATAAGCAAGGATTTTATTAGTATAAATAATAAGCAAGGATAAGTTAGGACGGAATGGTATTACATACTGTGTATTAAACAGTAAATATTTACATCTAGTAAATAGTTACAGGTAGTAAGTAGTTTACAGATAGTAGAAAAAGGGAAATTAATGAAGTATGGAAGATATTCATAACGAAGCTTTTAAACCATAAAGCAAGATCTTCATTATGTCATATATTCGCACCATATTTTAAGAATTATATAATGACATTAAAGTGAGGACGCAAATGTAATACGTGTCATAAAAATATTATTAAATTTGAAATGCATCATTATTTTATTTGGAAATACTCGAAGTTGCTAACCTGACTTATCTTCTAACGTTAGCCTTTAGTCGCTTACAAAGAGGCAACGTTGTTAATTTCCATTCAATAATAGTTTTTCAAAACAGATGGCAAAAAGGATTAAAGATTTTTAATTATTTACGAAAATAAAGACATTAAGCTTAGAAATAAAAAAATATAAAAAACCCCATTAATTTCCATCTAGTTATTTAATTACAACAGTTAAGTGACTAACTAAGTGATGCTAAACACTGATAGTGAAAACTAAGTGATGCTAAACACTGATAGGTAGAATGGCAACTCCCCTCCAAAAAAAGATTCATACTTTGCTTGTATCAATGCCTTTTGTCATGGCCCAAGTTGATACAACGTAATCCATGACACGCTCACTTAGGGCTTTTGGAACTTCATGCAGTTTCATGAATTCTCGAACGTTATTTAACATCTCATGGTATCTCGCAGTTGCCGAAGTCATTTGTTGGATGATGGTAGTCACATGACCGAAAATAGTGGCATATAGTAAGGCTGTAAGAAGAGAAATACTTGTTACTTATCAGAACAATTCTACAGAAATACGAAAATATTAAAATAAATAAGGAGCTTGATTTAATATCATCAAACTGATAAAATAAAAGGACAAACAACAGGTTAAAAACATGTACATGCAACAGGTTATGCCTGTGACACACACTAGGTTAAAAAGTACATCAAAATTCTGAACAGCTCGCTTTCGTATTTAGAATGCAAAGCCATGTATCACATAACTGCTCACTTGCACGTAAGTCACGCAAAATATTGCAGATGAATGTTCAACTAATTTCCTACCTCTCTCCTTTTTTTCAACGTTTCATATATAAGAAGAAATTAAGAGAATATTCACACTGTTTAAAATCAGGAGAACGAATGAATATTATTTTCAAAACGCTAAATAACAGGGCAGTCCGCATTAACACATTTTAAATACAGTTAATTTATGCAACTGCTCGTACATGTACATTTATTTTGATATTTATGTTTATTCTTTAGTAAAATAAATGTCTAAAAAGTTAAGCGAATTTTGAAGTAACATGTTCAAAAATTTTAACCAAGCATTTAGTTGAAGAAAAGCATTCTCAAAAAGATACTATGCATTTATCAAAAAGATACTATGCATTTATCAAAAATCTATGTAAGTTAAATATTCTAAAACGCTCCGGAAACATTGCTTTTTAATCTCAGTTTATCTGGAGTTAGTTTCAAATGTAATAACTCTAATATACGAGATATCTAATATATCGTACAAATTATTACATTTAATAATGATTGATAAAGTAATAAATAATAATGATTAAGCTATGCTTTTGAAAGAAGATTAAGAAAATATTTAAAGAATATTCCTTTGGAGCAACTGGTTATCTAAGGAAAACCTGATAGTATTTTCTCGTATCCACTGTTCTAAAGGAAGTTGCAAAGAAAGTTGGTTTGGTTTATGTGATTACGACAAAGCACACGAGGGCTATCTGCCTAAGGGGAGAGACGCCTTCGTGGAGGACTTTATACCGGAAACTGGCTCGTATACACGTTACACATGGAAAAACCATGAAAGCGCCCATGCAGCCAACCCGTTTACGAAATTCGAAACTAAGACCGAATTACCAATGTTCAGCTAGGCCGGTGGCTAGCTGGGCCCACCTCTAGGCTGCTGCTGGGCCCCAATGGTGATACAAGCTTATCCCTAAATTTTTAATTTTAAAAAATAAAGGTAGTTAAATACATTTTTACAGCTCGACTGATACAAAGAAACAAGGAGAAAGTTTAGGTACTAAGCTAATATTGCATAAATAATATGAACAAGCAATACTGGTATGGAAAGAATAATCTCAGGGGTGAATCTTCACATCTAGGTCTAGCCGTCATTATTATCATAAAGGCGTAAAAGTAAATCTGTTCATACCTGCGGAACACGGTTTAAGCCACAGCTAGTCGGAGAAAGTCAAGTTGCACATGTACGGATGTGCAGGTGACTCAGCGAAATCTTCAACCAAATGTTAATTCCTGGTTGCTTCACTGTGACTAATCGGTTCTTGTACCAAGATGGCATAAATCTTGGTAGTTAAAAGTTATATAAAATCTTTGTACCAGTTTCCTTGTGCAGCAAGGTCTGGTTGCCTAGCAACGCAGTTCAGCTTATGTCACTTATACCCAAACAAAGTGTTTATGTGAACGCTCCATCAGGCACAAAATTTTATCTCACATGGTCAGATTTCATTAAAGACGAAAACAGCTTGAATTCATTTTAGTAATTTTACTTGGGTATACAGCACCTTTGCAGAAAGAAGCTTCAGCTCCAGTCTATGTTCAGATTCATCGCTATTTTACTTTTGCGCCTTTCTCTTCGAGAAGGGAAAGACACGATGTAAGGGTATTTAGTTTAATTAATCAATTTTCTTATAATTTGAACTTTACTATCACTGCTACTTTTCGTTAGCTCTTACCAAAATATAAATGACAGACACGTACATAAGATCAGAGTTCTTGAAAGGCAGAGATCTTTGGCAGCGACGATGACCATTGTACTATTTTTTCATCCAGCTCTGCGTATTACGTTACTCGGCGTTAGTTCTTCGCCAGCCGCGTTATTGGCGTAATTAGTTAGACATGACGCAAGGCTTGTTGCACTGTGCATTTGTAAATCTCCGAAGTTAATTACTATTTAATTATAAATTACATTTTTATGTGACCTTGGAATCTCACAAGAAGCGGAGATTTTAAGTACAAGCCGTACATCGTTAAGTTTAAATAAAAAGATTTGCTTAAACCTTCTTCGAACTTTATTGTTACTTACATAAATGAGGCGATATCTCAACTGATTGTCCCAGTAGGGTCAAAGTTAAGAGAATTAAAGAGCGGAACCTTATAATGGGGGCTCCCTTTTGATATTCTTAAGATTTCAAACATCTCAGTAAAAAACTATCCCAGCAACTAGTGTGAAGATAGCTTTTAAGTTAATCTTCAATTTTTTTGGGGGGGGGAGAGAAAGAAAGAGTTTTACATTTTTTTAATATAGTTTGCTTTTACGTGTTTGCGATTATAACAATATCGCTTAAATCTATGTTAAAACCATTATGAAGTTTGTGTACAATACTTCAAATAATTCTGTTTTACAATTAAACATGCGAACTTCTCAGACCGATTCTTAATCTGTTTGATGCATGCATCTTGTATGTGTTGTATGTTAATGTATTTTATCATACTTAAAATACCTTCGCATAATTATGCAGCTATTAATAATAGGATTTTATCCTTTAATTGAAGATTATTATTATTCGCTACATTTTTAAGATGTATACTGAACTTAGAATACAAAATTTCATTTAAAACATGAGCAAGCGTTTGAAGGTACATTTCTTGAACAGCTGATAAATTATAACAAAACTTTTAGCATTAGCACTTAATTTTAAATCCGCTTCATACATGAGTGGGACAGTTGAGTAATATTTCAGCAAAGTAAGAACAACAACTGTGTCCATGAGAAAATTCTATAAACATCAAAAAAGAACATTTTAGGGTTAATCTTTGGATTATGGTAACTTGGCGATTTTTTGGCGAAAATTTGGCGACCAACCCTTCTACAGCAACCTGCTAGTTTTTGTTTGCACACCATTTTGTTTTCATGAAGTAAAGGCATTTTTTTTTTTTTTTCACTCAACATTTTTTTCCAACAATCTGCTAGCCGAATTACGCATACGCTAGAAATTTTCTGGAACAAAAGTGCTTAATCATGACGAAGATTAGGTGCGAAATTGGGAGAAAAGGCAGAATCGCAAACTGCTTTCCGCGTTTTTAAGAATTGCACATACACGGTATCCACGTACACGTCGACCTATTTTCACTTAAAAAAAATCTCAGAATTGCACAAAAATGGCATTGCGCACACTCTTGACTTTATCCATGTATACTGCTAAAGTCCTAGTTAGTAACCTTTATCGCCTTACCAAAATGTCGCCAAACTACCTGTTACCATATTCCAAAGATTAGCCCATTTTAGTCTTAAGCTTTTCAAAGAAATAGAATTTTTATTAAAATTTTGTTTCACACGCGATTAGATCTAACGAACCAATTTCTGAAGTGTCTGAAATCATTTTCAAATAAACTACACTAGAAAATAAATTCTTTAAGAAAATTTCAAATTTTTTAGCTATGAAGTTAGAAAAGGAAGCATGAAGTGCTTTAAAGAATATTAATTTTCGGGTAATAATTGCCCTTGATTATGCAGCCATAGATGAAGATATCCTAAGACAATTCAAATCTTTAAGTTGCTCAGTAGATATAAAACTTCGCTTTTAAATTGAGGATAGGTTCCCCCCCTATAAAAACTTAAATTAGGAAGTAAGAGACAATAACCAAGATATTAAAGAAACGAGAGTGGTCAAAATCGTTGGAATGTTAATGCAATTGCAGAGTACTGTTAGATATAGAGCAGCAAGAAAACATAAAGGCGGCATATTAGAAAAGAGAAAACAGAAGTAGCTTTTCTTAGGGAAGCTTAAATCAGTACAAGTTGATCTAACGTGTTCTAATAAAATTTTAAGTGCAACAAAAAGTATTCTAAACTTCTTCGTTGCTTATATAATAATTTCAGTTTACATAAAATATTTTCTACTGAAGTATGTGTAGTATTTTTACTGAAATTGGTCTACTTGATCATTATTCATTTTAGCAGGCTATTTTTGTGTATTAAAACCCATCAAGAAAAAGTTAAGACAAATTATAATGAAGATGTGCATGACGAGGAGGAGATGGGATATTTTCACATTCGAGACATTCCTAAATTTTTTATATATTCTGTTCTGGAAAAGATTATACTCCCTTCATTCAGTTTCTGATCATGTTATTGAAAATGCACAGAAACTGCTGAATTTAAACCTTGTTATTTATAATGAGCAAATTTGGCACACAAATAGAATGAAGCACATAAGCTGATTTATAAAAGACAGTGAAAATATTCTGTTTTCGTGGATAGAATGAAATGAATATCGAATAGAGTGAGAAATACAAGTAATTTAGCTCCGTCTTTTAAATAATGCTTTTGATAAAAAAAATGGTTCCTTCACAAATTCTGGACAAGCATCTTTGATCTGATATTTGTTGGCTAATTCTGTTGCTTCCAAATAGATACAATTTAGTTTTAAATTCAATGGAATTATAAAATATAAGAAGGCAAAACCATCGTTCGCGAAATTACGAATAGGATAGTTCAAACTATTTGGGCCAAATAAAAATCCCAGGGATATAAGGGATTTTGTAAATAAGAATATAAAATTATAATTTATGAAGTAATTTAAAGGCCTTTTTTAACTTACTGAAACGAAAGCTTTTCTGCCATATTCAGCGCAATAGAAGTTTCAGTTCATCATGAGAAAGACTGAGTGCTTGGTAAGAAGGAGAAAAGTGGTGGTTGGAACGAGTTTTCCCACTATTGCTATGTAGGAAAATTGCGGAAGCTTCTGACTAACTCAAACTGAGGACCGAATGAGTTTAAGCATTCATTTCTGAATCTGTAATTAAATTAAGTACTATGTCATTCCTGTCGAAGGCGGTTCTAAGTCTCACCTACCCTCAGTTTCTGCATAAGGCACTACCACTTTTACTGCGTTCACTATATATCTGTATGGTGTTGGTAAAGGTGGATTCAACTTCAATGAAACTGCAGTTAACGATAGTCTTTTGTTTATGTATGCTAATTTATATCTTGTGAAATGTTTTAGACAAATATTTTGGTGATTTAGTGTAATATTTTAAGAAACTTTTTTTCATTCATATTAAATTTAGCATCCTTTAATATGGCACCGCTTCTGCATGTTTAATAAAACGGTGTTTTCACCTCCAGTGCAGATGACTTATTAACTATGTGGAAAAGGTCTAAACCTAAAGTAACACTTTGCTTTCCCCACTGGGTATTTTATACGATATATTTCATTAAAACATTAATAAACTTCTTACCTCCAATGATCATCATGCAAATGGTGAACACTTTCTCATTGTCGGTCTCGGCTGCGACGTTGCCGAAGCCAACTGATGTCATGCATGTCATTGTAAAGTACAGAGCTGTGATGTACATAGTTCCTCTTGGTGGCCCTCCTATTAACTCGTATTTCACAGTGTCCTTGTTTGTTACTCGACTGAAGTTGAACTGTTGTTGTGTCACATTTCCCAATTTCCACAACCAGCTGTAGGAGACCCCATTTTCGGCGTCGCTGCGTCCAATGCTGTAGAAGATACACGCCAGCCAGTGGGCAACCAGCATGTAGAAGCAGAGCAAGAGAATAAGCATGGCAGCTCCATATTCCAAATAGCGGTCAAGCTTTCGGACGACGCGACCCAAACGCAGTAACCGGACCACCTTCAAGGCGCTGAACAGGCTCCCGATGCCTTGCTACTGGGACACAACGTGCATTTTAGAGAGCCTTGGTACCAACAATCAAAAGGCCCTTCGTTTTCCTCGCCTTTTGTGAGAAAAACGCCAGTTCTTAATACGCCTATCGGCTTTGAATTTTTTAAATTATAAAAGCGAAATATTTAAGTTCGAAAGAGTGAGATAACCATCACCATTTAATGCATCCCTGCTTCCTTAATTTTTAATTATTTTTTTTCTAGAAAATGCCCCCACAAATCTTTTAATTTTATCGAAAGTTACGAGTTTGTTTTCATTAATATTTAATTTATATATTAGAAAACTAAAAGCAGTTTTAAAATTTTGAATTTTATGAATAAGTTTTCACTTTACTGTCAGTGCCAAATATTGCCAAATATTAACCGAGGAATTAGAAGCTCTCATGCATTTCATAAGTAATGCCAAGAAATGTTAAGGTAAATTATACTTAATAAGCAGATACCCATACATGCAAAGATAATTTTTTAAATAAATAAACTTCAGTTAAAACATTTCATACACAAATACACGCTAAATTTTACAGAACTAAAATTATATCTAAAGTCTACTTCTACAGCTAAGATTTAGATTCATAAAAATATGTTACATCTTACAGCTTCACAAGATAAAATAAAATTTACATTCAATAAATAACTACAAATATTATTTATTCAACTTTAATAACACGATAATCTGCCAACTTTTCTAAGTTTGTAAATGCAGAGTTATTCAAAATTATTGACCGGATTTCAGATAAGCATACTTTTACCTATGAGTGAATGTGTATTCATTTAGCATACAGGCGAAAGTCTGAATTTTAGAAAGTCATTAAAATAACGAAGTAAAACTGTATGTTTTACTTTTTATTTTAAACTGTTTTAAATAAAACTGTATGCTTTACTTTTTAAACAAAAAAAAGTTTTTGCCTAATGTTTAATCGATCAAAGCAGAGAGCTAAAACTGAAGAATCCTTTTTCCATAAGTGTTCTCCCATATCACCCTATCTTATAACACGTAAGTTGTTTTTTATTTCGGCGATAAATGAAAGATTTTGTTCGAGTCGCCTTGTTAGAATCCGATAAACTCTCAATAAAAGCGGTGTTACAACTAGAGAAAGAACTTGTTAGAATACGTAAGACACGTAACTCATTATCATCCTCATATTGTTTTTATAAAAAAAAGGAAGGCTTAAATGCTTGTAAATAAGCAAAACTTCGACAGTTTTAGCTTTTACTGCATGTTTTACTTATCATTTTGTGGTTGTAAATTTCAAAATAAAGCTACTTGAAATCCGGTCAAACTTTTTAATAACCATTCTAATTGGTAGTCTTTCATTTTATGGAAAGATTGAAATCTAGTCCTCTCTAGCGTAAAAGTGCATCCAAATTTTTGTCCACATAATGCTTTTATTTACTGTATTTACTCGCGTATTCCTCCTTTTTTTACTAATTTTGTCGTCCGAAAATCGAGAGAGGAAAATTATGCGAAAAAGTAAATTTCCACAGAATGAGGTCATAATAATAACATAACAAATGAAAATTATTCATGGATAACTGCCAGTAACTATCACAATATTATTTATTTAAGAGAAATTTAGATTTCGAAAAGAATGCATAGTAACATTAACATTACAATATCTAATACGATATTTTCATTTCCACTTGAATCTCATCCTCTTTTGTTATCATTGTTTGCTGCTCCCTAGAGCTGAAATCATTTAACGCTACTCGAGATGCTGTCTGCGTCGTCTGCTACAGCTTGCAAATCGTCGCCATTGTCACCACTGTCATCGTCTTGCCACGTACAATGAATTTCAGAGCCATCAACAACATACAGAACATTAGATATCCTCATTTTCTTGAAGTTCTTCAGTAGCATTGCTTCATCACTAACAGATCATGCAGCCAAAATCCACGAGAAAATCAATTAGTAAGACGAAAACAATCACTAAGTTGACAGAATATTGCGTTATATTTTTAAAATCAAAGGAAGCTCGTTTTTTAAACGCCTTAAACTAGCTAAAATTAAGTGAATACATAAAAAATATACAGAACCTTAAAAAGCTAAGGGAAAAATACGAGAGTAAATACGGTAGTTTTTTTCTCTAGTAAACGAAATTATAAGCAGATTTTTGCTACAAGTCTGTGTCCCAATTATTGAAATAAAATAATGTATTTCAGATAATTTAAAATTTCGTTATTTTTAATGATTACATAGTTTCTTGTTGGCAGAAAATATTTCAGGACAGATATTTCAGAGCCATCATTAGCAGATATAAAATTAAATTCAAAAGTTGCGTTATATTTTTTTAATATTTCAAAGTTGGTTTGAAGAATGCAAAGATTAATCTATTTTTAAAAATGCAAGTGAAGCTTAAATGATAATTTTTATAAAATTAAGTAAGAAATTTTCACATGCAGGTTGTTCAGAAAAGAGGGCTACATGTCTTATTTACTTAAATCCTAGGCAGATATTTCCAGTTACAATATTTCTCGAACTAAAGTAGAGAAGTTTATGAGAATATTTCCAGATTATAGGTAGATGGGTTTTTTAAAAGAAAAAGACTTTTTGTGAAGCATTTCATGAGAGAAAGGAACATAAACTACTTCTGCGACATTAAAATGAAGTACTCAGTACTTCTTAGAAAGTTCATGGCGAAATGTCTCGCGCATTACATAAACAATTCAATGAGGAATGGATGATTAGTATTTTCTCGAAGACAGCTATAAAGTTAAGAACCAGTGTTATTTTACCTAATCAAAGTGTTATTCTCCAATACGAGACTGAATAATTAATTTCAATCAAAATAATACGCTGAAAAGTGAATTAAATCAGAAAATTGGATTTGTACTATCTTCAAGAATGTTACGCGTAAAGATGAGGATATTTTATTTCAATCTATTAAAGCATAATTGATGTTTCCCTAATTGGATTCTACGGAAGTTGAATCAACAGCTAAATTTTCCATTTCCAAAACTGTTCTACTTCTGCGACTGAAGCTGTTTCTTTAACATACAATTACAAACTTTGTAACTGGAAATTAGGATACAGGATCAATATTTAAGGAAATAACTTTTGTAGCTCTCTTTTTCAAATATCTATATAACAAAGTAAATTTTTTAAGTAGTGTACTAATTACATTTAGAAAAATTGCATTTTGCAAGAGAATTAAATAACAAACATTGCATTAAGATAACCACTTACATCTTCTTCGTGATCAAATGCGTTGAAAACATCGTAAGGTAAGCAGGACAACAAATCTATAATAAACCAGCTCTTAAGATAGTTCATACGAATGATTTTTGGATCGGAGACTACCTCGCCTCCGGGTCCTACAAAAGTGGTGTGAAAGTTGAGCACAATGTCGATGAAAAAGATGACGTCCACTATACTATCCAAGACGAGAAGAGAAACGTCCTCAGATGTCTTGTTTTTGAAGGCCACATTATACGGCACCATAATGGCCGTGTAGAATGTCAAACACAATATCACCCAGTCCCAAATAGCTTTAAAAGCACAATAGTGAAGCAAAATATGTGGAGGAGTTTTGGGGGCTTCTTGACGGTATTGGGGGAGAACTTCAGAGTTCAAACTTATCATCTGAAAAATAAGATGCACAAATTGAAAAGTCACACTGATGTAAAGAAGTTCTTTCAGAAGTAAACAGTGTACACCTAATTCTGTTTTTGCACGAAACTGGCTTAACATGAAATCAAAATATATATTTCATTCTCTTTTTACGCTTGATTTAACATGAGACATCCGAACGAATTTCTATTTTTTTTTTCTTTTCCTAAATTCTATGCCAGCTGGTGGAGAAGGATTCGATGATCTAGGTTTGGTTTATTTGATTATATCAAATCATTCGAGAGCTATCTACCTAATCGGAGGGATGCCTTCATGGAGGACTTTCTAAGGTAAATTAGTTCGTATACACGTTACATGGAGAAAACAACGAAAACGCCCATGCAGCCAGCCCGTTCGTGGGATTCGAAACTCGGATCAAACTATCACTGTTGAGCGATTTTACCTCTCTGCTTCTGGTAGGTGATTCGATAATTTATCATTTGAAGATATTAATGAATTGTTAATCAACAACGCCCTTGAGCAACAATCAAATATTAGATTGCCCTTGAAACTCCTGATCCCATAGAACATAGTGATTACTAAAGAAGATAATTTAGTTCGAAATCCAGATTTAATAAAAGAAAGTCTAGAACTGGCCAAAAAAATTAAGTGACCATTTTGTGAAATATGACCACAATGCGGAATGCACTGGGAGCTTTTTCACATGATCTGAAGCTGTTGACAGCCTCTTACAAAGCATAACCAAACTTATATAAGCCTAAGCTATAAAGGAGCCTAACCAGAACACGAACACAAAGATTAATAACTGAATTTGTTTTTGAAACTTATGAAATATTAATACGAGAAGAGACCGGTATTGATTTTGATCAAGAGATCACAGAAGGAAACCCTCCGAGTGGCACGGCTGTTTGGATCTGTTCATGAAGATCTATATTTAAAGAGCATTTATTAGCTAAATCTGTAGAATTACTTATTTTAGTTTCTCTTTTCATAAACTTCCATTCTTTAAGGTGATATTAACATCATTAAAGAAAGAAAAATATTTTAAATTACGAGCTAATATATACTCAGTGACAAAAATCACCAGACCGGATAAAAACCGGTCATGCCATTGAGAAAGGAAAACGATGTCCCCCAAAACTCTAGTAATACTGATGATATTATTTCAGTCGTACTCAAACTTATGCGCACTTTGTTATCAGAAAGTGAAAATGAATTAATTTTTGCGTGTGAAACAAGTTGTCCCCCCCCCATGAAGAATCATTTCATTTTAAATGCAAATGTAAGACATTTTCATTACAGGTATTCTTCCTCGAAATAAAATAATAAACTTAAAATGAATATTTTCAGATGGATTTTTAAGCTATGTTTTGTTGACCTTTTAGATCCAGAACCAATTTTATAAAGTCTTTTCTATGCCAAATGTTTTGTACGTCTTCTTCAGGAACGTTATCTATCACGTAAATATAGAATTAGGTGTACACGTAAAAATATGAACGTATGTATTTTATGTTATTCACAAACATCTCATAGAAGTTATTATACATATATTTAGTAAAATTTTAAAGTTTTTCAGAAACTGATATCACACTTCTAATTTTAAACGAATCAGGACTTGTCTTCTAAAATTAGAAGTGACGTAGATCTACGAAGGTACATATGAAAGGTCTAACAGAAGTAAATGAAAAAACAGCAAACAATGAATAATTAAAATTAAATAAAATATAATGCAGTAAATAAAAATACCAACAAATTTAGTTAAATGAATCGTAAATAAATAATTTAAAATAACGTATTGAAATAAATAATAAAGCAAATGACAGGTGAGTAAACTAATGATAGGCATAGTAATAGATTAAAGCATGGTTGTAAAGGAAAAACGTATTTTGAGTGGTATTCTTTCATGTGAGACAAAACTGCTCCTATGGCTCGGGCTTCAAATTCGGTTAAATATAATTTCACCTAAAAAAGGAGAGCCAGTATCCCCTGAATGTTCAGCGAAGTTTAGTGAGTACTGGTAAAGTCCACTAATACGGTTCTTCTTAACGAGATCGGATTTAGATGGGAGTGATTATTTTTCCCAATGTGTGAAGTTTTCCCGCGTATTTTGCTCTTTTGAAGATAAGATTGCATAACTAGTTCTTATGCAGGTTTTACTAGCTGCTATATAAAAGGCTGCATTAACAACAGAATCTTTACACTCTCCAGCTCTTCCTTTATTTATAATGCGGTGTCATTTATGATCCTCATGACCACCTTTGCCTCCACTCACTGTTGCCTTTCAGATCCTACTTATCATGCATGATCCTACTTATCATGATTGCATTTATGTTATGTGCTTTTATGGCAATATATGTCATCGATTTGGATAAATCGCGGAATATTATGGTTCGATTCAACAGAATCTTCAGTTAATACTGTGATGTAGTTACACAGCAAAGCACGGAACCCCCGCTGAAGTTACGATTTCACTCACAAACTGAAAAGCGCTGAAGTCTTCCTCTGGTTGACTCTGGCATAATTTAATCCCAATTATGAATTAATATTTTTTAAATTTTATGAACTATCACTATATCTCTATAGTTATTATAAATAAGTTTAATGCCTAAGTTCGTTTCCTATTTCTACAAACGTTTCAGTTAGTATTAAATCTATATTAACACAAAATCACACATATATGGTTTAAATTCTTACCTGTAGAATTTAACTTTCATTTCTCTCTTGTAGATAACACCATATATTTTTTTTACTTACTTGTTCCTTCTGGTTATCAGTTTTCTGAAATTTATATCAATTTAAAAGATTTCCTCTGAGTTTTTAACAATTTCTTCATAAAATGAATTTTACCGTAAGTTTAACGTTCAACAGAATCACATAAATAATAGATACATAGAAATGGTTTTTCCTTCCCCTTTCCATACTTTGACATACCGCTTATTTCTGTTTCATACTCACTTTTTTACATTCAAATTCATCTGACTTTATTGCTTCCTTAACATTTCTCATTTTTGCTCCCTTTATTTAGAACTATTTTTGTTGGTCTTCCGCAAAGATACACAATACTAAAATAGCTAGAAGACAAAATCTTTTAAGTTCTCATACATTTCCTTAGTCAAGCAGAGCATTTTGCCTTCGATTCATTTTAATTATTTTTGTCTCTTTATTAATGAAATATTTTAGTTAATTTGAAAATATTTTGTTTCTAAACGTTGAGAAAATCTGATATTTCATCATCGGGTTTCGAACGCCAGATCTTCCGCTGATAGTCTAACAGTTACACTACGGCAGTACACAGTGGGGAAGGTGAAAATACTTCATATTCTCCTTCACTTAGCAGTTGACTGGGAAGAAAAAAGCGAGGCCCAATCGACCAGATCTAATATGTGACAAATTACCATCCACCGCCTCTTTTAGTCGAGCATACCTGTAGGGTTATTTAACAGTTAGAAACATGATAGGTCAGAAATGCCTTCTCCGAGATTCGAACTTCTCTTCTTCCGGTTGCTATTCGGAAAGTACTGCTAGTTATACCCCGAGAGGACGTAGAGGGGAAGATGAAAATACTTTATATATTTATTTTAGGCCATGTATCGATTTCGAAGAATAGAATTTAGTACTAACCTCTCAAATCTTTGAAGGAGGAAGAAATTTTCTTAGATGTCTTCTTCCGAATGTGGGAATGTTTTCTGAGGGGATCAAAGCATTTTTCATTCAGTTGGATGACCCCGATTAGTCACACTGAATGACTTCACCGTAGGAGGAATAAGAAAGATATGCTAACTATAAATTTATTTAGATATTTATTTTTAATTTTCTCTAACTTTTTGTATAAAATTCCTTAACTCTTCCATAATCTTAATAATTTATTTACTGGTCGTTAGTTTTTAACTTAATTTTAGCTTTTTCTTTTCCACTTAATATTTCTGATTATATTAGCTTAGGTAAGTATGTAATTTTGCAATTTTTAATTCATTTTGTTCATATTTTTAACCTCTTTGGAACCACGCTTTACCTCTCTATAATATACAATGTAAAAGATTAGCTCCAGTTTATTCTCGTGTCTGTTTAATCTGATATTTTTATTCCCTTGCTTTTATTCGTCGTGTAATTTTTGATTTTATGCCAGTTCATTTTTCTTTAATATATTTTTTTAATCTAAATTTACCATTTCTTTTAGTAACTAACTTCCGTTTGACTCGGGCGTTTGTTTCTCCTGCATTTCTTTTAATTGTGTCTTTGTTTCTGACTAAAAGAAATCTTTATTTCTGAACATAAAGTCAAATTTGTAATTTTCTCTTTTAAAGTAATTAATTTTAAAATTTAAAAACAAGCAGCTGCATTTATTTAAAAAGTATTAATATCAACTTTACATACTTATTAGGGTATTACTTTTATAACAAAGTTTTGAGGTTGCCTTTTTTGTTTGAAAGCCGGTCAAGACGATATGGCGGTTAATGCAGAATGATTATCAGTCCGAACCCGAAGTGCTAATTCAACTTCCGTGAAAGGCATGATTATACGTGTTTTATCTTTCCCCTTACGTTTTGGGTGTAGTATCAGTCGTCCCATGTTTTGCATCCTGGGCAGTGTTCTCGATGATGAAACGGTTAAATTACCAATGAATGTGGCCATAATCCTTGGTCCATGCTTGGTCGGCAGGGGCCCAATCTTTGGATAAAAGTGCGTTACTAGCAGAATTTCTATTGGAAAAATTTGGTGCTCTAAAATATGCGATTGAAATTTTTCTGTATCGTACTTTGGCTAAAATTTGGCTTCGGAAAGCAGAATTTAGAAATAAACTCTCAGATTTCTGAACAGAAGGCGAACTTTATTGCAGGTGTTCTTCAGAAAGTGTGAACATCCCTATGGTGTCTGAGGAGAAAAAAAAATTTTCGAGCATTTATATAACAAAATAAGTTTTTACATTTTTTTTATTCGAATACTCAGGTATCCTTCGCATCTGAAGTTAACATTTTAGCTTGACTTCAAATATTTAAAAAAAATATTGGCAT